CTCCATCTCCCCTCTCTTCCCATCCCACTAACAAACCAATGAAATAGGCAATGGTTCAACCTAATGGCCATCCGCACCCGCCACCTCTCCATCTTCTCCCACCCACCCGCCTTCAACAAACGCACGCAAAACCTCCTCCTCTTCCCCGCTATTCTCTTCGCCTTAGGCATGGCCGTCTTCTGGCTCTATATCCCCCCGTTGCAGCGTGTGTTGGACACGACGAGTGTTCCCGTAGAGTATTATTTCCTGCCTGCGGCTTTTGGGTTGGGGATTTTGATCCTCGATGAGTTGAGGAAGGCGGGCGTGAGGAGGTGGCCGGGGGGTGTGTTGGATCGGTTGGCTTGGTGATATACCTTTCTTGTTCTTCTTCTTCTTCTTCTTCTTCTTCTTCTTCTTCTTCTTTTTTTTTTTTTTTTTTTTTTTTTTTTTTTTTTTTTTTTTTTTTTTTTTTTTTTACTTGGTTGTTTTTTTTTCTTTGTTGGGTTGATTGATGGATTGGGTGGATGGAGGGTGGTTGGGGTGGGGGATGGGGATAGGGTAATGTGTAATTGAGGGCTTGTAGATAGATACTACTACTAGATGGGAGGTAGATCTAGGATGTATCTACGTGATTGGCTCGTTCAAGATATGTAAGATACGGGATGGGTTGCAGGGACGTATGGAGTCCTTACCCCGTATTCAATAATGGTATCTGCAAAAGCAGACTCTCCTTTTACTTACGATCTAGATCAACCAGCCTAGCCGAAACACCAAGATCTAAGTAATGAAGAAGAATCATATATATTGCTCAATGACGACTTTTACCAAATCCCAATCATATACAGCTAACACCAGTTCAAAAAATAGGAAAAAGAAAGCAACCAGGTTACGTACGTGAGTCGTCAGATGCAGAACCGGATTGAGCAAGAGATTACAAGATAGAAATGAAGAGGAGAAGAGAATAAAAGGGAAGAAAGAAGCAAGGTATAACAAAAGGGGTATTCTGTACAGATGAATCACCAGAAATAAGGATTTCCGTAGACATCCTGGTAGCATTGGTAGGCGTCGGGGCAGCTGTGATTCCTCATTAGTTTGATGTTCACTCGATCTAAGTTGCAAAAGCAAAACAAGGAGAGAGGGGTATGGGGGTGAGGGGGCTGGAGGGGGGACTCACTAAACAGCCTCCTGACCAAAAATAATATGCCAACTATACTCCATCACATGAGCGGCCAAATCATCCGATAAACTCGTATTCAACACCCAATCATAAAACCATTGGTAATGGTCCAACGGCCGCTTGAGCACCTGCTCCTTGGACACGGCGAATTGCGAACAACACGCGACACCAACCACCTCGGGGACATCCGTGTTATTGAACAACTCGATCCACGATTGCGCGTAGACGCGCTCCGTGGTGCGCCCAAACTGCGGGGGGTCGCGGAACGGACGAATCTCATCCGGACAGCCGGGGGTCTGCTGACAGCGGAGATTGACGTAGCCATTGCGTTGAACGAACTCGGTTTGCAGGGCTCGGATGGAGTCGACATTGCTGTAGGCCATGGTGTCGGTGTGCCAGGCGCCGGGCCAGCCGTCTTTGTGACTGTGGATGAAGACAATGGTGCTGGGGAGGTCGTCGTAATGGTCCACGATGTATTGGAGGTAGGCGAGGGCTTCGCGGCCCTTGTTCTTGGGGGTGTGGCGGGTTGCGGTGGTGTCGTCGACGGTGTAGATTACGTTGCGCCATCTGGATTATCCTATTAGTATGGTTGGACTTCAATGGTTTGGGGTAGGTGAGGGGATGGACGTACTCGTTCAAATCGGTGCTCACCCAGCTGGTATCCTCGGAGGATAATCTTGCCATGACGATGACACGGTCGTTGGGGACGATGATCGGGGTAGTTTCGTACATCGGACGCGCTGCTGCATCCGAATCTTTGCTGTTGGTCATGTCGCTGCCGGTGAGTTTCGGTTTGCTCTTCGGAGTTGATACCCGGTCGCTGTTGGGGGCGGTGGCACTGTCGGAGTTCACATTGGTGTCGGGGTTGGCATTGGCATTGGCATTGGTATTGCTGGTGCCGTCGGCTGCTGATTCGGCGGAGAAGGAGCTGAAGCTCCAGCCGGACTGGACGCGCGCATCATCCTGGACGAGATCGAGGTGGCGTTTGATAAGAATGATGGCGAGGATGATGAGTGCGGCCGCACCAATCCGGTAGGATAGTCTCATTTCATAACGTGCCTGCCGGGAACCAGGCTGAGACGACCGAATGGGGGGTGGAAGGGGGGGAGGAAAGAAGGGATGAAAACCGGACGAAACTGAGGGTGTGTGTGAGAGAGAAAGAAGCGAAAGGGAGAAACAGGCAACGTGGGAAGAAAGATCCGACGAAGGGGTTTAGTTGGTTGCTGAAATTACCAGGTACGGAGGCAGAAACACCGAATGGGAAATAATTAACGGCGGCGACGCTGCGCTGACGGCCGCCGCCTGAGGCTTATCACGGGGGAGGCGCTTGGCGCCGATTGGTGGGTTTCGGATGGATCAGCAGGGATTATGGAGTACACCATACGGTATGAGACCCGAATACGAGTGGTATTTACATTACATACGCTGTGATCCAGGAGAGTTTACATTGCAGCCTAGGAGCTCTCGATACGAGAGACAGTCCAAGTACGAATGCGCGATTGTGATGGAGTCTGGGAGAAACATGTTTCAGACACGACGGTATAAATAGCCCCGTCGCTTCTAGACTCGAGCGAAGGATCAAGCTTTGTGGGTGGATGAGCATTAATCTCGGCCTCATCCATTTCAGTCCTAAGCAGTCAAAGCACATACCTCTACAGAGTACATTTTAGATGTAAAGTAGCTACAAAGATTCCACTCCCTGAAACCCCCTCACATTATCTGAACATCCCCATTTTGGTCTTTCCCATCCACCGCCGATCGCCCCAGCAAAATAACCCGTCGGGCTCCGTGCGACAATCCCATTATAGCCAGGGTCCAGGTATATTTCCCATGCATTAGGCCCGTCGCAACGACGTGCTTAGTGTCTCTGTGAAGAATTGTAATCCACCACCGACAGAAGCAACCTGCCATGTCGTCCAGTTAAATGCCGCCCATTGACCAGCGCTGTCAGACACACTGACACTGACAGTGGCCGACAGGCAGCCCGATCCCATCCCGTCTCTGATCGGGAGACGATCCACCGCCACCGAGTCTATCTCAAACTGTCCCACCCAGCCGGGCGGTCTGACTGGCCAGCTGGCTTCTCCCGGCTGAACCCTGAATATCCACCGTCAGCAGGGCTGTGCTGCGTGGTATTTCACGGTTATGACAATAAGTTACAGTACAGGTCGGGATGGAAACTAGCCAGTTGTTGGTTAGTGGATGGCTCATGTTGGGAGATGATGATGCCATGTATGCAACATATAGTCTATGAGCTTATAAGGTGTGGGAATCATGAAGAATGGTTATCTATCCCCGCAAATTAGCTCGGTGTTGTGCAAGTCTCCCTGCAACTAACCTCTTCTCCAATGTTTCCCCACCCGAACAGCAATCATCACAACTCCATCACAAACAGACATACGCACACCGGCCACTAGCTGCAGAAATCAACGGCTAAACTCCACAGCCATCCTTCAGCGTTCACATCAACCAAAACCTTTTAACCATCAACCAACCGCCTAACAAAACCATAACCAACAAATCTACCACCCCGCCACAACTCCAAGAATATCCATCACACCTCTACCCAAGCATCAATATGACCCATCAGACCCAAGTACCTACACAGCAACTTGACATACGGTAAACCCCTCTCGGCAAAAGTGATCAATCAGACCCTGGTCCCTCCCCACCTGATCGCGGCCGATCGATCGATTCGTCCATTCGGTGGACGGAGTAATTGGCTCTCCCCCACCCAAAACATACTATGCAGGGCTCTAATGACTGGTCAGATATTTGCGGGGTTGAGTAAGCCATGCTGTATCGAGATAGTACCGAGTTGACCCCTCAGAGCGTACGTATGCAGTAGGCACTTGCTCACGGGAATCGGGCGGAACGGGTAGACTGAAGGCTCGGTTATGGCTGCTTACGAGATATGCTATGTTTGCGACAGAACGGTTCACTATGGGGTAGATGGATGGTCGGGGTTTCCACTCATTCGGAATAGGCTTCCGAGGCATTCTTGTGTTGGTCATTGTGGATGAGGTTTTGCCTGAGTTGTAGGACATTGAGGCCATACCGACAACGGCCCAACCGGCTCTTGGCCAGATACTCATCCACTGGGTATCAAAATCGGCCACCTGGAACGACGTGTGGTGCGCATTGGTTTCGCGAACCTTCGGAGATATGTTGGAGGATGCTGCTGAAGGAGGAAAATTGCGTATCGCATCTCCTTCATTATAAAGCCCGCGGAGTGTGAATACTTGGAGAAATATTTCGTCTGATAAGCCCACCACTTCCTTGGCATCAGGCATTCGACAAACTTGTGCCAAAGGACCGGTACTCGCGAGTCCGGAAATCTTCAGCAAAGAAACAGCCCGTTTGGTCACCCGGGTCAACGGAGAAGTGAAGCAAAGTACCCTGATCCAGAAAGATACGATCTTTTCAATCCAATGTCTGCATTCCAGGCGATGGGGCTGAATAATCATTGAGGTCTTATGAAATCGGCGATACAGATCACTGCTGGGAAGCTGGTGAAAGCAAAGCTCTGGTACAGGCTTAGCCATTAGCTGATTTGACGGGCTTGGGGGTAGGATTCTCTGGTCAGAGCTTTGAGTTCAACCGGTGGATTACTGGGCTTGCTGCCCATGCTCGTCGAATATTTGCGCTATTGACAGTCTGCCAAGACCGTGTTGGCTGAAGACAGAAATTGCAGCCACCGGGGATGTAACGGCGCCTCGAACCGCGACAGAATCAGAGCAATGTGACGATGGGAAAGCGGGCCGGAGACTGATTGACTGAAACTTTCGAAGGATACTGTGTCTTGATTAGCTGCAACTCGCCATCACTTAGGGTACACGATGCCCTACGCTTGAGAAGCCTGGGAAGTGTCCAGATGTTACCGAAATGGTTCAGTTGAAGATGTAGTATGCTGTTGTGGTGCTCAATGACGGAACTCAGACTGTGCTCTGCCATGATGGTCGTCTTGCTGTGAAGGTCCAGAAATATGAGAGCCGTGAAAATTGTCAAGCGGATTGCTGGGTCAACAGTGAGGCACAAGGAGCTATCCCACTGATCTGCGACCGACGCAATATCCTGACATGCCTCAAGAACACGCTGCCAGCTAGCCAGCCAGTCGTCGCCCTGTCGCAGGCCAGGGTCGGCCAGTGAGAGGAGCAGCTGTGCCATTCGTAGAAACATAACGGTAATTGTTCGAGCATGGTGATCAACATGGGACTCGTTCCAGAATGCGTTGCGACGTGGGTTCAGCCAGCCCGGTGGGAGGGCTAAACGGGCGGTAGCCAGCTGACGCTCAACTTTGGCAACTTGCGTCCCGATCCCTTCCTGTGATCGGAGCAATCGCAAGCGGATCACAAGCCCTGCCTGGCGCAGAATCGAGATTGTGATGTTGTGAATGTTCTGCAGCAATGTCTCCGGGGCTAAAGGGGCGGCAAGAAGGACTGTCGACAACTCGTCGGAGTTCGCCGGCAAACACAGTTCCTGCAACGCGTCGATGTCGGCACTGCGTGGTGGCTGCACAATGTGCCTTTGAATGAAGGAAGTGCTGATCACGGTGTCGTCAATCAGATATGGGGTCCCAGCCGAGATGTTGGAATAAGCGTCAAGGCGGTAGATACACCACCACAGCGATTTCCATTCCTGGATCTCGGTCTCACTTACCGCGTGCCAGTCAGGATAGAGCATACGGATGTGGTCCAGGCGGTCGAGCCCGATCCGGTAGGCCATGCGCGTTACTCTACCCATGCGCAGCCAAGACAGGTGCCCGGGGAATTGATGAAATTCATAGAAGGCCAGGAGGTAAGCCTTGCGGAACTGATCGAGTGATGGGATGTCACCAATCAGATCATCCTGGAGTATACTTGAACGGAGGAGTTGATCTAGACGAGTATCCAGACTGGGGGTCACCTCATGTGCAGCAAAGCCAGTAAGCTTTGCGGTAATGGTCAATATGGTTGAAATCAGATCTTCACTGCACAAGGAGTGTTGATAACGATGAATGAAGCGTTCCTTGGAGAAGATAGGATTCGCATCGTGAACAATCTCGAAGTACCTCCCAAGGCTAAAGCAGTCACCTTAGCATGATGGGCACCCACGAAGGAGAGAAGACGGTGCGGCACATACAGGTAGCTCACCTGCTCAGGGGGGAAATTGTGGTCGTTGGCACGCTGGGGGGCGTCGCCTGGCGCTGGTTGAGCGGCCACACGGGGTGAAGAGGATTCGTTGCTGAGTGGATCCTCCGGTGGAGGGTCGCTATGACGCTTGCGGGCTGAAGACTCATGGTTTACACCAATGATTAGCATACCTCAGTGTCATCCTGCTGGAACCATGCGCGAAGATTGGACTTACCTGAAGGCCTGCGAGGATTGGGGGTGTAGAGGGAACCAACCGGGGGACCAGGTTTGCGCTTGATGGAAGTGTAGCGACAGGTCTCTCCGAGCTCCAAGCAGCGAGAACAACTTGGCCGTGCCTGGTCACCTTCACGGACTCAGCGATAGATGGACAGTGGAACGGCAAGGCCAGCACATACACTTTACCTTCTTACTACCGGAGATCTTAGCCGGAGCCTTCGGTGTGCGACGGGGTGCCGCCAAAGACCCCAATTCCACGCATTTGGGGAGGGAAATTAAGGGGTGCAGATAGGATTGGAGGAGATAGTAGTAGTATCTCTTTGGAGTGATCCACACATTCGATTGTTAACTAGCACAGAGACCATACGCAGTAATCCTAGGTATTGAAACTGCATAGTATCTGAGACACTGCTGGTATATGCCTCGAACAACTCCAGTGCGCAGGGATCATCTCCCTCAATCAAGCAGTCGTCGCTACTACGCCTGCATGGGATACAACCAGGCCATCCCTCCTTTCATCGGCTCTTCCGCGCACACATAATCCAAAACCTGCCCCTTACGAAACTCCGGGCCCATAACGTACCGCATCACGACCGTCTCGATCCAGGAAGGAAGAACCAAATACCTCGACAGAATATAGTACCAGATATTATGCCAGGTATGCATACGGGTCTCGAGGCCGGATTTCCACACATCGCCCCGCAGCGAGCATTCACGGCTCATTCGAACTGCTTGGTACTTTTCGAACGTCGCGGCGAGGGCACCAGCACTTGGGTTCCCGGCAGCAGCTGCCGCGACGCACTGACGAAGACCGTTGCAAAGTACCACGACATCCTGCACCTCGTTGTTGAACCCAAGCCCCAGATGCGTGGTCAACTTGTGACAGGCATCGCCCACCAGCACCACCCTTTCGAGACTCCAGTGCTTCACGATCCCCTCCTCCAGGTTCGTCAGACCCGCCCCGAACATCCGCGGCCAGGCATCTTTAACCTTCACCGTCCCTGTCAGGGGGAAATCGAAAAACTCTCGGCCCACCGTTTCCACGTCTCGGTCGGTGTACGTGGCTCGCGCTTGGGTCGGGCTGGGTAGCCTCTTATACAAGAAGAACCATCCGCGCTCCGGACCGCTGAAGTACATAATCGCCTTGTCCTGGGACTGGATGTCATACCCGAGTCCGGATGGCGACGGCGACGGGAATGAGCCATAGAGAAGCTGATAGGTGGCGGTATAGGGCTGCTCGGGGTCCCAGGATCTGGCGGGATCGGTCTGGAGAGCCAGGGTGCGCTTCAACTGGCGGGTTGCGCTGTGGACGCCGTCGGCACCGATCACGATCGATCCCTCGAATGTGCTCCCATCTGCGCACGTCACGGTAACTCCATCCTGATGCATTTCTATGTCGACGAGCTTCTTGTCCGTTAAGATCTTCTCTCGGGCAGCCGGCGGGAGACCATTGTATAGAATCTCGATTAACTCGGCCCGGTGGAAAGCAACGGGTCCAGACCCATGGCTGATCCGGTCAGATGCATTCCGACAGCAACAACAGAAACACATGATGAGATGACCGGGACTCACTTCTTGCGCATTTGGGCATATTGCGTACCCTCCTTGAAAACGTACCCTTTGGCAGTAAACGATAGATGGTGATGCAGTTCAACTCCCCGGGTTAATAACTCCCCCAGAACACCGAATTGATGGAGGACCCATAAGGTATGAGGATGGACAATGAGGCTCGCCCCTTGGTCTTCCACGATGGCTGACCTGCGCTCCAGGACCAGGAAGTCAATGCCAGCGAGGTAAAGGGCGTAGGCAGCTGCGAGTCCCACTGGGCCTCCGCCCACCACGATTACTCGGAACACGCGTTGGCCAGCCATCGTTGCATCAATGTACGATAGGCAATGGACCAGGGGTACTTTCAACGTTGAATACGCAGTATCTATATTCTACGTAGCTCACGCCCAGCCCGGGCCCACTGCAACAAGTGGTTCCTCCGAATGTTCCTCCGGCCGGGCCAACATGAATAGATTCAGTGTATCAGATTCGCGCGAGATACTGTCTATTTTAGGCTCTTCTCTCCCCCGTCCTGCAGCCATGAACACGCATTCAAACCTACATCCCTCGGACTTTCCCACACATTCCAATCCCACACAGCATCCAAGCCCCTCACTAGCTATGTCCACCCAACTCGCCTCCGTAGTCATCATCGGAGCTTCCCACGCAGGCCTAGGAGTCACTCACAAACTCCTCCGACAGACCACTAAAGCCTCAATCACCCTAATCAACCCCTCAGACGAATACTACTTCAACATCGCGGCACCCCGTTTCCTCGTCAAGCCCGAGAGCTTACCATCAAGCAAATACCTATTCAACATCCGTGACTCCTTCACCGAATACCCCAATGACACCATCACATTCATCAAAGGTCTTGCAACCAAAATCGATTACGCAAAAAAAGTCCGTCCTCGTGACAACTCCATCCGATGACAACTCCACCACCGACACGGTCATCTCAATCCCATTCGACTATCTAGTCCTCGCATCCGGAAGCACCACCCCCGCGACCCTCGGGACAGGGGAGACTAAAACTCCCCTTCAAGACAACAGCCTTCGAAAACACCCGGGACGCGATCTCAGCAGCGCAGAAGACCCTCCAGTCCGCCACGAGAATCGTAATTGGCGGTGGCGGTCCCCTGGGCGTCGAACTCACCGGCGAACTAGCCGAAGCACCCGGCCCAGCGAAGACCATCACGCTGATCTCAAAGACCGAATCCCTCCTACCAGACGCACCGACAACCGTGCAACGAACCGCCGAGTCCCTCCTCCAGCGAAAGTCCATCGAGGTCCTAAAACCCGTCACCGTCAGACACGCAACACAAGACCCCAACACGCAAACCTGGACAATCACTCTCTCGACCGACCAAACCATCACAGCAGACGCATACATCTCCACGACCGGGACCATCCCCAACAATGCCTACATCCCAACAACCTTCCTCACCCCCGACGGCTGGGTAAAGGTAGACGAGCACCTCAACGTAGTGGACACCGAAACCAGCCTACCTGACATCTACGCCGTCGGCGACATCACCTACCATCCAGATCGACTCCTCTCGCGCGTCTCAAAGCAGGCAATCACCGTGGCTGTCAATATTGTCTCCAGGATTGAGAATGAGTATCGGCCTGTGAGATACTCCGCGGACGCGCAGATGAAGATGTTGGTTGTGTCGGTGGGACGGGGCACGGGGACGGGGCATTTGGCTGGGTGGACGCTTTGGGGGTGTTTGGTGTGGGTTTTTAAGGGGAGGGATTATTTGACGTATGAGGCGGGGAAGTTTTGGAGGGGGAGGGCGAAGTAGGATGTTGCATCTCGTTTCCACATAGTATTAGTCTGTGGATGAATGTTCCAGTCAGACAGTTGTCATCAGAGTATATTTAATTTGTCGCGAGATTATTGACGATTCTCTCAGTGCCTGGGTGGCTGAGGTATCTTGGGATGAAGAATGATAGTACTCCTTGTGATAGCGGACCTTTGCGACATGGAATACTACTCCATCAAGGACTTCAGAAGGGTTTGGCTAGACACCATGGCTTGGCCCTTTCAACGCAACAGCTTTTGAGGATGCCACTTCAAGACTTGGAATAGATCAGATGCGATACACCGATCGTATCGAAAGCCCATCATGGAAACACGTTCTGGGTTGTAGCTATGGTGCTGCTGGCTAGTTTCGCATGGTGGTTGTTTCGCCACATGGGCTCAAGCCCTATGGTTGTCCAAGGCATGCACGGCGATCAGTCAGATGAGCTCATCGCTGGGCTTCGACCCTTCCTGCGATTTTAATCTGAGAGTGGTGAAAGTGCTCGGTTGTTTCTGCGATCAAGGTTGTTTCGTAGCATGGATCCGGAGACCCTGATTAGAAACAACACGTCATTTGGAAAGTTCACTGGCGTGAACCCGGTACTCCGTAAATCTGCGGAAAATGCTTTGCTTGACCGCCGGATTGCATTTCATGTTTCAGCTCCCCTCCCATAAAGCGGCTAATATAGGTCGTGTGAGCCGGGAGTGGATTCCTCCAATCCGCATTCGAGCGGCTCATCTGGCGAAAAGGCTGCATGGACAAATCCGCATGCAGGGAGAATTTGTCCTTTTGCCCAAGTCATTTGCCACAAAGGTAATCTATCCTGGGTTGAGGAATTTCTTGCATCTGAGTGTTCCCTCAGCATCAGAGAGAGACAGCATGTAGCGGGAAAAGCATTTATCCTGGCCCTCGATTGGGCCGCCAACGGGGGAAAGATTTTAGATAATCCGGGGCGAGCAAGAACCGGGCGGGCTTCCTGATCAGATGATGGCGGAGCAAACTGGCTTTGGACTTTGGGCAACTAAGCACAAGCAGCCTAGGGAGTGAGACTGGAGCCTGGAGACGAGACCCATCTGCCCCGGCCCCCAAGTTAAGGGCCACATCATTAGGATTGAACATGGGTGCGGTCTCTCTCCGGGTTTCGGGTTGACGCGGCTGTGTGGGGGGTGGAGGGATTGGAGTCACATCGGGGCCCGTGGGGGTCAGCGCTAATTGGCCAACCCGATGATCGCACTCTCGCGTGGATGAAATGAAATGAGTGTTGTTGTGCTGCGGTGTTTGTGAGCCACGTTCTCGGCAACTTAGCCTATGCGACGATGCATCCCCCAGTCAGAGTTTTCATTCCGAAGGATTGCGGCGAGGAAACCCTTCCCCCTCCGGCGTAATATCACATCATCATCTGGGATCTTCCAGTTATCATATGACGGACAGGATTCACCACCGCTGGGGTAAGTCTGCCGATGGGGTTCGTTCGAGTAGAGGCGAGGCTGGCAGGGATTCCTCCATATTACCCCAGGGGCAAGACTCCGTGCCCTACAGTTGTTCCGTAGGCCCGTGCCTTGTCGACGTCATTTGTTCATGGGATGTGAGGCATTTCTCAGGATGGCTTCCTATCGTGATTTGATATGGAGTAGCTTGTTGGATAAGGGATGTTGAACGATCGTCGGCCATGCGGTCATGGCAAGCATGTGAATCTGTGTGGTGGGTGGGTGCCTAAGGCGCTTGGCTGTCAGTGCTTCGGCATCCCGACAAGACAAGCATTGCCATGCCAACTTACCCGCTTCTGTTCCAGTCTGCGGTCACCGGTGGTTGTGGTTCAGATATGGTACAATGGGTGATCGCTGGATAAAGAACCAGTCTGGAGGAGCAGATCACCAAGGTGTTGTTGCAGTAGAGAGACAGTGACACCCAGCTTGACGTGTGAAGCAAGGGGTTGCTGAATAATGCCCAGGGAATACAGATTCAAGCCATTAACTTTAATTTCACTGCCTTATACATATACTGCATTTAGAGGAGCACAATAATATGTAGAGTTCTTCCTAACTATGAATGCCCCGGTGGTGTAGTGACATGTTGGAGATATATAATATGTCGTGTAGAGGTTGCGCTAGGTGATATATATCTACCCATAGTACGGAGTACTATCCTACCGAGTAGTATGCAAGATGCATTCTCCGCTGAGATTCCAATAGCCCTCGCTCCTTGTGTAATATCATCTCACCCCCTGCTCCCTGCTGAGTACAGTTTCAAATGCAGCAAGAGCAGATACACCCGCCCAACGCGATCTTCAGGGCCGCACAGATTCCCGTTGCAGTAAGCATGTATGGTTGAATTCAACAAATGCCAACCACCCCATCGGGTCTTCACCTGTGGACTGATAGGGAGAAGAATGTCAACCCGGCTGCCTACATGGTCTAAAACTCCCTGGCGAACCACTGCTAGGGGCTAGATTGAAACTGTTGAGATCAAACGTGCTTGCTTTTTCTTCCACACTACAATTATTGGCTGATCTATTTACATCTACGGGACCGTCTTAATAGTACTGCATAGTGGTATATATTTCCGTGGATCTACACACTATACAAGCCAAATAACCCGAATTAAAGTTGAGCACTATTACAGCTCAGAAATTCGATCGGAGTGAGCTCCATGTTTGTTGTCCGTTCAGCTGCGCCTGCTGGCTACCGGCATAAGCCACCGAATTACCGACAGAACATTCCGTCTTTATAAATACACCCACAAGCAAGGGGTCTGACGGGCGCGACCAGATCGAGATAAAGTTTGACAAGACAGCCAATCCGAACCACGATATATGGATCGATCACATGCGGAGGCTGGCTGAGTGCTGGCCTGTGGCGCGATATTAGAGTGAGAGGGAGGACATTTCCGAAATTAAAGGGGGAGGTGTTGTTGCCTCCTTGCGAAGGGGGGAGGTATCATAGCATCCCTTCTGATGGTGTTGTATCTATCCGTGGGAAGGATAATCCCAGGCAAGGAGGACGGCCGGCTGAGGGCTACACAAGACACGGGTTAGTCTGCAAATAATCATCTGTGGATGCCAATGGTGGTGGGCAGATCAAATGTACTGTCCGCGGCTGCATGCATCGGAGAATGGATGCAGTGTGACCATTGAGCGGTCTTCGAACGGTCGAAGAATGCCTCCAGAAATGAAAGCGAGACAGTGCTTATCGTGCTGTCCGAGCAACAATGCCGAGGTATTGCAAACAGGCCAAACACCGCAAGCCGAGCAGGTCCAACGGTTGGATTATGGAATCTGTCACTGGCTTCTATTTCCGCGTGGGTAGAGATTCGGAACGGAAAAATAGCTCGGTGTGGAGCTTCTCCTACCGTTCAACTTTGAAGAACTTCACTTTCATCTGTTGTTTTAGATGCCAGATAAAGTCGGGCTAATCACCATAACCACCATAATCACTCAATAGCTGAAAGAAATATGATCCCAGATAGAAACAGAAAGTTGAAGCTCTCCGGATTAGAGAGATACTATGAGCTTCGAGAGACCTTGGCGCGACTCCTGTTTCTGCCACGCGGGAATTTCTGTAACCCGACTGACGGAAACACGTGGATTATCAGCAGAAAAACGTTATCCTCTCGTGTTTGTTCAAGAGGATGGTATCTACAACAGACTGAATATCAATATGCGCTATGCAGACTGGACCAGGTGAAAATCCGGCAGGAGCAGGTGACCTGCTGACGCCGTCTAGACTCCCTGGTCTCCTCCAAGCTCCAAAGGGGTCTAGAACTGCGGCTGGTATCACAACAACAACGGGATCGCGTCCTGCGGCCAGGCCTCGTTTAGATCTCAGATGAAGCCAGAACGTAATCTAGATCACCACGGTCGCTATCATTGGCAGTTTCCTCGCTTCCACGTTTCTATCTAGTTCCCCGTTGCTGTCCTTGTGACTCGACCCTCCGAGCCCTCCGGCATCCAGACCGAGATGGCCTTTCACACTCGGCACACCGGTGCCGAGTCCGCGGTTGTGTATAAGAAGCATCGGCCTCCCGATTCCCCTGCCCCTGAGGCTTAAAGCTCGTGCGCAAGGCAGTATAAATCTGCCCGACCGTCCTCCTGCTTTTTTGCTGAGCTGAGTCTCGATTTTCGGTTGGAGCTCTATCGCACACCACACATATGCACCCACCCACTGGATTCTGTTGCGACACCGCCAAGCTCCTCTGACGGATGATGACTAACCCAGCTGTCAAACTCGAGCTGCAGCTGCCTCTTTAATTTTCGAGGAAGAGCTTTTCAGTTTGTGCCTGTCCCGGGAAAATTCTTCTCTTTACTAAATCACAGTGCCCTATCAACGTTCCATGCAACACCCACTTGCCCTCGCGCCAATGACGAGGAGGCTGTCCGACGGGGAGGGTCATTACGTGATACGGTAGTCTCGAAGGGCTAACGCATCATCTTTTTCCGCACCGTCGGGCGGGTCAGATTCCTGAAGCGTCAACTTTCCGTCGTCGACTTGCCGACTTGTGTTGAGAGCCAAGGCCGACCATCAACCTTCGGTCTCAACAATCGGGCCGTCTGCGTCGAAATAATTTCAGCCTAACCTCTTGCGAAACGGTGGTCGGATAGTGGATGTTTGTGCGTAGACTACCAATGCACCCGCCCACTTGGTCCCGAGAAATCCTCGTGTCTTCCGCCCACTGGAGGTAGGCATTACGCCGTGATACCTGCAGCTAATAGAGCTCTTCCCTCAATAGGTAGACACCTGATGCGGCACCAACAGTCTTGATGTCATCATCATGGCGGTTTAGCCCGCGGATAGCGCATCCTGAGATACGCCCGGACGATACTACCGCATGATGCATCGTCATTATCATGTGTCGGTCGGTCGGTTCTCGGTCGCCGCCTCGTGCGCTTCTCGCTTCTTTTACCCGGCTGGTCTGTTCGCGCCGGCGCAGCAAAATTATCATCGTCGCGATTCGACCCGACCAGCAGCTCCCAGCAGTTCAACTGCTTGAGTGGGTCCGACGATGCTTTTTCTGCACCGCTGATTCGCTGTTACTGAATCCGTTGTGTTCCGGAAGCGCGAGACATGCCCTCGTACAATCTGGCGTAGGGGAAATTAATTTCACCGACGCGCGATAGGACTAATGGGGCCATGTGCGCGATGGAGTCTGAGGGGCAGAAGTCAGATTGTGTTGCTGGTCTTCGGTTGGTTCAGATACAGGAACAATCAGCCGGCAATCTGGTCGCCCAATGGAACCTTCGTGCCGGCAGGCAAGATGACGATTTTCGGTCGGCGCGCGTTGTTTTAGCATCCACTCGATCTCCTCGAAAAGCTGGGTCTTCCCCACATGCAATTCCCCCACCCCGTTTCTTGCCGAGATAGACTGGTCGACTCTTGGTCGACTCTTGGTTGATACCAAGGCCAAATACGATGAGCTTCGGTATTTCTTCTTTGGCTTGTCGCCTTGGCGTCGGCCTGGTGCGGTCAGTGCGGGTTCACAAAACGCCATTGACGTAGGAGTCGAGGAATGGGGATAATCCCAGGGTTTCCGGGGAGGGAGGATCATTTTGACAGGCACGTTCAGCTCCGCCCATGGGAGGGGGGGGATGCTAAGATCCTGGTGCATAATCCCTATGGCCTACAGGCTACAGACGCAGGCAACTTGGATGTCGCTGTCAGCGGCAGAGTTTGCATGGGAGATTATCCAGATCCATTTAGCCCGGTGGGACCATGCTGTGTCGCAGCTATACCTTGCAGGACGTACGGAGTATATGGACGATAATATTACCTACGTACGAGGCTGCAAACTCCGCTGCCTGCTTGGCTGTCTCATCGCGCACGAGAAACGAAGGATGGGCCATCTACAGGGTGCGCGGCTAATCATATTGCTCTGCGGTTGTCGGGTCTGTAGGACGGACAAGCGGACTGACCGATCTAAGTCTTTTTCCGGTCTACGGTGGAGATGCATCGGAATTCATTGGATAAGCCGTGGAATGCCAGCAATCGGCGGATTTCGCTGGCAGTCGGAATTGGAAGGAGGAAAGAGAGATCATGCCGACAAAACGGGAAAAATTAAAAGACAGACCCAAGAAAAAGGTAATTCTTTTTAGGCTAACGAGATGGGGACGCGGAGAAAGGTGATATTAAACCGCAATATAGGAGGGGAAAAATGGGGACCTGGAGACGCCGGCGCGGCCAGAGACGGTGCGGGGTGGGGAATCCCAGTCGGCATCTTGGGATGGCGCCGAATCAGCAACCAGAGCCTCCCACCAACAGCACACTGGAGGAGGAGCATACCCTACCTTTCCCCTCCGGGCTAAACCTTTTCCAGCCAGACTTTATTCGCATTATCGTGGATATCATTATTAACTTCATATTTCCATTGGCGCATTATTTGTCTCGCCTTGCAGGATGACGCTAGGCGCGCTCGGGAAACACAACGGAAACGGCTTCCCGAGCGACGGCCGGATTTTGTTGCATTCAAGCCGTGTCTCGAAAGGTCCGGGACGGAAGGGATGGGTTGAGATATGCTGCGTTTCTGAAGAAGTCGGCGGACGGCCCCGTATTGTCCCTGATCACGGGGCGGCAAAGGTGGACTTTTGGCGGCTGAAATCCTGGAAGCGCAATGGCGCCCGCATTCAGACTGGGCTCGTTAGCGAGGCAGTCAGACAAGGTGATTAATCAGCCTGCGCGAAGTTCCCCGTGGGATTTCGAGACCCCCTCGCTTGAGTTGCTCTGTTGGGAGGAAAGATCTCGAAACGGGCAAGTCAGCCCTGTGCGGTCAGCTCCACGTTTGGGCCGGGGATCCGCCACGACGGACGGGCGCAACAACGATTGGTCAGGGCGGGCGCACGTCCTTCCTCATAGGTGGGAGGTCCCAGGGCAGAACCGACGAAGTGGAGTCGCACGGTGTCCTCGGGTTGGTGGAGGAGATGGGGGGGAAGGGAAGATGGTGTGAAGCCAAAAGCGGAATAGTTGAATCGGCAGGCTGAAGGGCCAATTCGGTTAGCACCTGTTGTCAGACCGTCAGAGGCTTAGAAAGACCCCGAGGGAAGTTGGTCACTGTCCTGAGAGACCCGGGGAGAGCGCCATCGGTAGGGGGAGGAATCACCAATGAGAAGGGATAGGGGCCGACCCGATTGTTAGGCTCTCGGGCGCAACATGGGTGGATGAATGAGATGTATGGTTCCCCCTTTTTTTTGTGAACCTTTTTTTTTTATTGGATTTTATTTATTTATTTATTTTTTAGTTTTTGGGTGGAATGTTTTTTTTGTTTTTCCGAATTATTTTTTTGGTGAAATTCCCTTTTGGGGGGAGCCCAGTCGGGGGCTGCGTGATGTCATTGCTCACTGCATCTCCAGCACACCCACAAGTGGGCCACGGGACCGCGCCAAAAAGATGCTTAACCCAGCGTTATTGATGCATCCGGTCCCCTGCTCCACAAAACAAACAATGGTACGGCTCACTATGGGCGCTGGTAGCTCGGTGGAGACGCCTCCAGTCAGTTCGGGGGATAAGAGATTGTCGGCCAACATGCATGCTCGCCACAACCGACAGGCCTGTCGTCTTCGAGAAGTAGATAATCCCCCTTCCTCCCCCCATCTTCTCCGCGTTGGCTCCAGTCTTGTTTTTTCCTCTCTGTCACATTCCTCCCTCTCCTTTCGACCAAGACCATCACCGAAAAGGAGTGCCTTGGAGAAGAGAGCGAGTCGACTTTGCTGTTCGATCGCTCTAGAGATTTTTCTCTCATCAATTGATTCCTACGTCGTCGCTGTCCCCAGTCAACAACCTTCCTAGGATCAACAAGCATTCAAGATGGCGCCCACCTACGCTGGATTGTCCGGCAGGAAACTGTCGTTGGCCATCTCATCCATCGCTACCATGGGCTTCCTCCTGTTCGGTTATGATCGTGAGTGCCTCGGGACCTGGCAGTATCAGCCGCGTCCCATTGTCACATGCTAACGTTTCTGCAGAGGGTGTCATGTCCGGTATTATCAGTGACACGGCCTTCGAGGACCTCTTCACGGCCACCAAGGGCAATTCTACCATGCAGGCCTTGGTTACCTCGGTTTATGAATTAGGTTCGTAGAAACGCCCTCGCAAGCGAATTGCGCCTTCAATCCTAACGTGCTCGTCGCATAGGGTGTCTTTTCGGTGCCATGTTCGCGCTGTTCTTCGGTGACAAGACTGGTCGTCGCAAGATGATCTTCTCCGGTGCCATTGTCATGATCATCGGTGTCACCATCCAGGTCACCTCGTTTGCCCACCACATTCCTCTTCTGCAGTTCTTCATCGGTCGTGTCATTACCGGTATCGGCAACGGAATGAACACCTCCACCATCCCTACCTACCAGGCCGAGTGCTCCAAGACCAGCAACCGTGGTCTGCTGATCTGTATCGAGGGCGGTATCATTGCCATTGGTACAGCGATTGCCTACTGGATTGACTACGGTGCCCACTTTGGCAACCGGGACCTCGTCTGGCGTTTCCCCATTGCCTTCCAGATCTTCTTCGGTCTGATCATTATTATCGGAATGTGGTTCCTTCCCGACTCCCCCCGTTACCTGATCTCCCGGGACCGCGTCCAGGAGGGTGAGTACGTGCTGGCTGCCCTGGGTGGCTGGGAAATCAACGACCACGAGACTCAGCTCCAGAAGCAGCTGGTCATTGACTCCATCAGAGCGTAAGTCACTGCACTGACCCTACGGTGAAGATTGGAGAATGGCTAGACTAACAGGTTCATATAGTTCCAACGCGGCGGGCAAGGATGTCGGATACCGTGACCTTCTCACTGGTGGCCGTTCTCAGCACTTCCGTCGCATGGTGATCGGTTCTTCGTCCCAGATCTTCCAGCAGCTGGGTGGATGTAACGCTGTGATCTACTATCTGCCCGTGCTTCTGCAGGACTCGCTCCACGAGACCGAGAACTTCTCCCTGGTTATTGGCGGTGTCAACATGATTGTGTACGCCATTTTCGCTACTTTCTCTTGGTTCTTCATTGAGAAGATCGGTCGCCGCAAGCTCTTCCTGGGTGGTTCGTTCCTCCAGTGCATTGCCATGGTTATCACCTTTGCTTGCTTGATCCCTAATGACTCGGAAACCGCCAAGGGCGCTGTGTTCGGTCTCTTCCTGTACATGGCCGCCTTCGGTGCTGCGTGGTTGCCTCTGCCCTGGTTGTACCCTGCCGAGCTGTCCCCGATCAAGACCCGTGCCAAGGCCAACGCTGTCTCGACCTGCAGCAACTGGCTGTTCAACTTCCTCATTGTCATGATCACCCCGGTCATGATCTCCCACATCGGCTGGGGTACCTACCTGTTCTTCGCCGTCCTGAACGGCCTGTTCATTCCCTTCATCTGGCTCTTCTACCCTGAAACCGCCAACCGCAGTCTGGAAGAGATCGACATCATCTTCGCCAAGGGTTACACCGAGAACATCAGCTATGTGAAGGCCGCCGCCGACCTGCCCAAGCTGACCGACGACGAAGTTGAGCAGCGGGCCATTGAGTATGGCTTCGGCGCCTCCAGTGACGAGGAGAAGGGCGCCACCGCCGAGATCTCGGGCAACAACAGCGCCCGCGAGGAGTCGGAGTAAGCTCCTCCTGATGACTGATCATGAAAACAAAACGGGATATATACGTGGTTGCATGCTTTGGGGCCGCGGGCCGTGATGGCTAGGACTCCGCCCTGGCGTTTCTCCCTTCCTACCTTACCTCCCTAATTTCCGCCTCCATTTCCTCCCTGTCGATATATGGACTGGAGCCATGCCGTCGGCTGGAGTTGCACGAGCTCGATACCATCATTGTTGTTGGCTGCCACATCCGGCGCAGCTGCTGGATAGATAGATTCCCCCCCTTGGTTATTTGTGTGTTTTTGTGTCTTTCACGCGACTACCCCCGAGCGCCTCCCCGGACAGGGACCTGGCCTCGATTGTTTTATGTCCTGTCTTGCCTTGAGGCGAGTTTTGTGTATATTTGCCGATCGCCGTGCTAGAGCGGTTGATACCCCCGAGATTCGATAGATTATGACACTTCTGATCGTCTCTATACTTTCTTCTTTGGACCATGCTGTCAGATACCGCGTAGTGGAGTAATGGCACGAGGATTGTCGGTCGTCTGGAAGTTCGGTCGCACCGTTGTCGAGGGCCGTGCCACGGGTGGTCCGAGAGCACCGGTCGCTGATCGCTAGGGCAGGACTAGATCATGGCACTATCAGTATCGCGTTCTGGTACCGTCCAGCGGCCTGTGCCCGGCCAGGACCCAGATCTGTGGGAATTGAGGCTGAAGGGGATCGGACATGCGATCGCTGCACAGGAAATGACGCATGATGCGGTCGCATCCCGATCGTCAGCCCGGCGTCAATCAGGCTCACCCGCCACCATCACCAGCTGTCAGCCGGGTTGCCGGGGATTGGCAGTTGGCAAACGAAGATACGAAGAAGGCTGAAGCATCTTCATCTCGGTACGGTCGACGGCGCGCGTGGCTGAAACCATGGGGCCAGCCAGGACGTAAGCAAGGGACCCCAGGGCGGAGGAAATCATGGAATGAATCAGCACATCCTTCATCCTTCCTCCTCCTCCTCCATCCATCCATCTTCACCGTCTTGCCGACCTCCTGGCCCTCCGATGAACACCTGATCGCGCGAGGTTCGTGAGTGATCGGCTGATCGGAGCACTGCCCTGAATCCCTCCAGTGCTGCTTGGCTGGATGGCTGCCCTTCCTTGAGCCTCTCCTTCCCGCGCCTCCTTTCTTGCTTTTCCCTTTCTTCCTTTCAACTTTCTCCTCGCTGTCTCTTACGCCCTCTTCCCTCTCCCCCCCCTTCTCTCCCTCTCCCTTCCCTATCCCACCCCTCTCCTCTTCACCTTTACCGATATTGATTCCCTCTGTCCCTCCCCGTCGCTTCATCCCGAATTTCCCGCTGGATCATGCAAATCCAGCTTTCCGGGTACCCCGCCTTAGCCTCTACCCCGCCATGAGCTCCTCCCTCGAGGCTAAGATCGTTGTCCTCGGCGCCCAAGGTCTGTTCTCCTCCCTCTCGCCCCGTCCCCACCGGACTGACACCTCTCAGGCGTAGGCAAAACCTCCCTCGTCGACCGCTATGTCAAGAACGACTTCAACCCCTCGGCCACCGCCTCCACCGTGGGCGCCTCCTTCGTGACCAAACGCGTCCTCGACAGCGCCTCCGACACCATTGTCCGACTTCAGATCTGGGATACCGCCGGTCAGGAACGCTTTCGCAGCATCTCCCGTCTCTACTACCGCGGCGCGAACGCCTGCCTCCTCTGCTACGACATCACCGATGAACAAAGCTTCCAAGAAATGACCGGCTGGCTGGCGGAATTGAAGAAAAACCTCGGCGAAGACGACCCCATTGTGGTGCACGTCGTCGGCACCAAAACCGATATTGTTACCATCGATCCTTCGCGTCGAAAAGTTCCGTTTGAACGCACCATTGCCTACGTTGCGGAGCAGCTGTACCCGACGCAGGCGTCCACACCGCCCGCGACGGCCGGACTGGGCGGACACTCCTCCAGCACACTCACGGGGATTGATAGCAAGCGCAGTAGCGCGTTTTGGGGACAGGATATCGGATGGGATTGCTGTCATGAGATCAGCGCCAAGGATGGCGAGGGCATTGAGGAGGTGTTTCGTGTCATCACGCGGAAGCTGGTCGAGCAGCGCAATAAACGCGAAGGGGGGACGAGCTCGTCACAACGGTCGTCGACGGTGTTTGAGGGGACGACGTCTCTGACCCCGGGAAATATTGACGGGAATGGGAGTTTCCGCTTGGGCTACGGGGATAAACGCCGCAGCTGGCTAGGATTCCCGCCTAGCAGTGTGGGTGACGACTTGGAGGATATTCTGGAGGGACCGAAGCGAAAGGGAGGACAGTGTTGTTAAGGTGATTCTGCTGTTGACAGTGCACAGTATCTTTCTTTTCATTGCTGCATTTGATCTTACGATGATGACTAACTGCATTGTGAAGCTTGGTGGCGTTTGTCTTATTTCCTTTTGGATGATTATACATGTCATGACTCTTTTCTTGTTGTTTGCACATTTGCATGATTTGTTTTGGATCTTGAAGCGTGTTGAGCATTGCTTGGTTGATTCCGGATGACAAAAGGTGCAGGCACCGTGGTTTTGATTTGGCTGGCGAGGTATAGTAGATGGATTATGCACGTATCTGGTTGTGACTTTGGTTTGAGACTTGTGATATTTTGATGACATGTGTGATAGATTGCTGATAAGGTCAAGGATACATACAACAGTACTCTACATACCTGTCCTAGTTGCATTCATACTACTTTGGTTTTTTTCAATAGGCTCAGGCCTTGTACCAGTTTCTTTCCTCCAACAGGTCCTACCCTCGTGGCTTTGTTGTTAGTGCTTCCCAGTGCAACAGTCAGACGTCTATGGGATAGCAGTAGCTGCGACGACGTCTCGCAGCTATCCCATATCCTTAGTTGGTATCCAACGTTGCACAAATCCAGGTAAACCGTGGCATCAACCTCAGACCCGTCTCTAATCACAACCAGACTTGAAATTACCCCGCAAGAGGAAGGGAAACGACGGAAAGGAACACGAGGCTGAGGTGAGCCTTACATCTGACAAGGAACTAACACCGCACTAGTCCTCTAGATCCTTATTAGCTAGGACCTATTTAACCCGGCAATTAGAACACCCTGGAGCTATTCTTTTATCCTTCCCTGCTTATTCGTGCAGATTGAAATATTGCTTTTGCATAGAAAGGTCGTCGCCATGTCCCTTTCCCAGTTCCGAATCATCGAACACACTGTTCCCTGCGAATCGATCCGAGAATATCACCATGCCGTCAAGACGGATAGTCCGCCGCTGCAGTTGGCGATCAAGCAATACATTCCTCTGAGTAATCCTAATCCCGGGCCTGATGATATTACGATCATTGCTGGACATGCGAATGGGATTCCCAAGGTTAGTACCAGACTACTATTACGGAGGGGAATAAATTGATGGTACAGGTATGCTGACGTGAGCCATAACAGGAGTGCTACGAACCGATCTGGGACGAGCTGGTAGCATTAACAAACGTCAAGATCAAATCCATCTGGTTCGCAGACTGCGCGCACCAAGGGGCCAGTGGCGTCCTGAATGAGCAGATCCTCGGCGATGACCGTGCGTGATTTCATTTTCCTCCTGATGGCTCGCACTCATCTACCTCTAGCAAACTGGTTCGACCATTCCCGAGATCTTCTACACATGGTCAACCATTTCAGAGACGAGATCAAGACTCCGATCGTAGGCATCGCACATAGTTTTAGCTGCGCTGCGTTGTATGTCCCAACACCCTCCCCACCCCCACGCACATGCAAACTAACCATTCTACCAGCGTGCATCTCTCCATCATGCACCCCCGTCTCTTCCACTCCCTCATCTTCCTCGAACCCATGATCCAACTCGAAAGTCCCAGTAAACCCGGCGGCCGAAGTCCCGCCCTCTGGGCCAGTTCTCGTCCTGATTTCTGGCCCTCCATGGAAGCCGCAACAACATACATCCAACGCAACCCCTTCTGGCGCACTTGGGATCCCAGAGCCAGAAATAAATACATACAGCACGGTCTCCGTCCTACCCCGACGGCACTTTATCCCAACACGGATTCCGCCGGAGTCACACTCACGACCACCAAAGCACAAGAAGCATGGACGTATCTCCGCTTTAATGCCAGCCCGCGAGGTAGCGCTACTGACCCAACAGAGCGTCTTCTTGGTCCAGATCTCGCCACAACAACCAACGCAACGGAGCTGCATAATAACAACCCGGAATACGTTTCCGTCTGTCCATGGTGCTGTCTCGCATTCGAATTCCTCCCGTATGTGCGACCGTCAGTGTTATTCATCTTCGGGGAAAAGAGCCATATTAATATCCCCGATCGGAGACGGGATAAGTTAGAGAGAACGGGGACCGGGCTAGGAGGGAGTGGAGGGGCGGGGGCGGGACGGGTGAAGGAGGCGGTGATCTCCGGTGCGTCGCATTTGGCGCCGTTGGAGAAGGTGGATGATACTGCGAGGGTTCTGGCGCGGTGGGTGGAGGAGCAGGTTGGGGGGTATAAAATGGAGAAGGAGTTCTTTGAGAGGGAGTATCAGAGTGGAAAGTCGGAGCGGGATGGGATGGAGTTGTCCGGGCTGTGGATGGAGTATGTAAAGAGGCCGGTGGATACGAAGAGGCCGGGGAAGGCTCGGTTGTGAGATTGTGGGTGAATGTTTTCAATCTGTGTTCGTTGATTTAGGAGCAGCTAGAATACCTGGGTCTATACCCTGGTGGTTATGTCAGGATATAGCAGTAGGTGCTCAGTGAAATGTTCGAACTCGACATAGTCGACTGCATATACTGCCAAACATTGAACCCTGCTGCAACCTATAGGTTCTGCCGACGTAGTTATAGCGTGTGACACTTCTATCTACATGCACTCATCTAAAGGATTAGGAATCCCTTGAAGTTGTACACATGTCAAGGTGGTGCCCCCCACGTGGGGTGTTCTGTTCTGTCACGTGATCATGCGTGATGAGCTGGAGGTGACAGCTCCATTTTGAGCGATTGTGGACCTTTGGGGAATATCCTCATTGGAATAAGAGCCGGTGCTCCAAGGGAAGTGCTGGTTTGATGCTAGAGTTATAAGACTATTAGCATGGTTGGAGGAAAGATGGAGAACATTCTTGACATCATCCCTGGGAGTGCCCTATCTAGGAGATTTTCAGTCAGTTGGTATTTATCTTGTCTTGGTATGGCAGTGCCGATCCCATCGAACTTTTAGAACAGAATCGGCAGATGAAGACAAAGGCTCGATCCACTTCCGGACTGCCGATAGGACTGATAGACAGGGAGCAACACAGGATGAACCGAGGTGCTGCAGTCGGCCGAGAAACGGTCGCCCGAAGGGCCCCCCCGCCTTCTGCAAATCCCCAGCACTGAGCTTAACACGATCGACCAACGACCGTCCACCGATTTTCTGCGCCGCCGTTCCATAGGCCCTCGCTCGCCTTTAACCCGAGCTGTGTTGTCGCCTCCATCCTATTTATCCCCTCGCTTCTCCTTTCGTTCTTGTCTTCTCTCATGCCTGTCTTCTCCCATCTTCATCCCCCAAACCACCCTCACCATGAGTAAAGGCAAGCTCACCGGCGCCGCCGTCGCCGAACACAACTCCAAGGACTCTTGTTGGGTCATTGTCCACGGCAAGGCCTATGATGTGACCGACTTCCTACCTGGTATTTCCTACCTACCATTGACCCTCGTCACCGATCCCCCGTCACTGACCACATCCAGAACACCCCGGTGGCCAAAAGATCATCCTCAAGTATGCCGGCAAGGATGCGACCGAGGAGTTCGACCCCATCCACCCCCCCGACACCCTCGACAAATACCTCGACCAATCCAAGCATCTCGGTGAAGTCGACATGACCACCGTCGAACAGGAGGAAAAGACGGCCGATCCGGAGGAAGTGGAGCGCCAGGAGCGCATCAAGTGCATGCCGTCCCTGGCTGCCTGCTATAACCTCATGGACTTTGAGACCGTCGCCCGGAGCGTCATGAAGAAGACCGCCTGGGCCTACTACTCCAGCGGTGCCGACGATGAAATCGTAAGCCCCCCAACCCACACCCCATAATCCTCATTCTATACTAAGAACCCCCAGACCATGCGTGAAAACCACTCCGCCTTCCACAAGATCTGGTTCCGTCCCCGCGTCCTCGTCGACGTCGAGACCGTCGACTTCTCCACCACCATGCTAGGCACCAAAGTCTCCGTCCCCTTCTACGTAACCGCCACGGCACTAGGTAAACTCGGCAACCCCGAAGGTGAAGTCGTACTCACGCGCGCCGCCCACACCCACAACGTGATCCAAATGATCCCCACTCTCGCCTCCTGCTCCTTCGACGAGATCGTCGACGCCCGCCAAGGCGACCAAGTCCAATGGCTGCAACTCTACGTCAACAAAGACCGCAGCATCACCCAACGCATCGTCAAACACGCCGAAGCCCGCGGCTGCAAAGGCCTCTTCATCACCGTCGACGCGCCCCAACTCGGCCGTCGCGAAAAAGACATGCGGTCCAAATTCTCCGACGTCGGTTCCAACGTTCAAGCCAGCGGCGGCGACTCCGTCGACCGCTCCCAAGGCGCCGCCCGCGCCATCTCCTCCTTCATCGACCCCGCCCTCTCCTGGAAAGACATCCCCTGGTTCCAATCCATCACCACCATGCCCATCATCCTCAAGGGCGTCCAATGCGTCGAAGACGTCCTGCGCGCCGTCGAAGCCGGCGTCCAGGGCGTCGTCCTCTCCAACCACGGCGGCCGACAGCTCGAATTCGCCCGCTCCGCTATCGAAGTCCTCGCCGAAGTCATGCCCATTCTCCGCGAACGCGGCTGGGAAAATAAAATCGAGATCTACATCGACGGCGGCATCCGTCGCGCCACCGACATGCTGAAAGCCCTCTGTCTCGGTGCCAAGGGCGTCGGTATCGGTCGGCCGTTCCTGTACGCCATGTCCGCGTACGGCCAACCGGGTGTCGAACGCGCCATGCAGCTCCTCAAGGATGAAATGGAAATGAATATGCGGTTGATTGGTGCCACCAAGATTGAGGACCTCAATCCCAGTCTCATTGATGTTCGGGGTTTGGTGGGTGGTCATGCGGCCCCCGTGCCGTTTGATACGTTGACCGTGGGTGCTTATGATCCGCTCCAGGCGCCGCGGTTTAGTGAGAAGGCGAAGCTGTGATCATTCATCCTATCTCTATACTATGAGTGCTGTTGTGGCTGTGGTTCGGGGTTTCTGGATAGAGTTGGTGCCTGTTTTTTTGGTTTCTTTCTTTCTTCGTTGCTGGTCTGGGATTTATGCATGACCGATTGTATATACTATACCCCTTTTTTTTAGACTTGGACTATATCAGAAGATGATTGTAGATCTATGATGTCGCATATCCGGAGTACAATCCTCTTTAGAGAAAAGAAAAAAGTCATCCGGAAATAACACCATGAAGACAATAGATACACTTTCGTAGTCATTCTCACGACACTGGCCGCCTCACCTATGTACAATACGTGCCCAAATACCCACCTCTACATCTCTACAAAACAACCACCCGCGGTTTATTCCTCAACCGGCCCGAATCCCGATACATGCATGCGGCATTCACGACCCACCCACACGCTCTATTCTCTCCACCCCAAATCCTAGCCCAGATTACTCCCAACACGCCGTACGCGAGTACTCGTGCCGAGTTCACCAAGCCAGAGATGTCAAATAGATCTCTCAGAAACCCGAACAAGGAGCTCAACCGGGACAGACGCGCGCGAGTTCGTCTCGACGCGCAGAGCTGTTCCCATGCGCGCTGGGCTTCGTCGTAGAAGACGCGCTCGATGCCGTAGGCGGCGTGGACGTGGCCGAAGACGTGGAGGGCCGGGCGGACGCGCCAGAGTTCGGAGAGGAGGTAGGGACATCCCGTTGAGAAGACGGGGGAGAGGTCGAGGTGGGATTGCGGGGGGGTGTGGGTGATGAGGATGTCGGTGGAGGGGGGGATGGTGCCGGACCAGGCGTCGTGGTGGGGTGGGTAGGTGAAGGCATGTTCGGGGCCGAAGGGCACGATGGCGGGGATTTGGGGCGCGCCGTAGATGGTGAGTGTGCGCGGTCTGGAGGAGGAGGAAGAAGAGGAGGAGGAGGTGGTGGTGGTGGTTGGGGGGAAGGTGAGCGTGATGGAGGAGTGTTGGAGGTAGTGGATGTCGCCCCAGTCGATGCGCTGGGGGTCGTCTAGGTCGTCGAGGGAGCGGAGGGAGGCGGTCGAGGAGGAGATGGTGGCGTAGGTGGAGGCACCGATATCGTTGCGGTCTTCGGGGAGACGTGACCGGGCGTCGAAGTAGCTGTCGTGGTTGCCGCAGATGACGACCTTGTGTGGATGGGGAAGACTGCGGAGCCAGTCGACCGCGGCTTGGATTTCGCGGGCGCTGCCGTCGTTGCAGAGGTCGCCGGCGTGGATGAGTAGGTCACCGTCTGGAATGTCCGGCCATTCTAGGGTGTGGGTGTCGGAGATGCAGACGACGCGGATGGGTTGGGCATCGGGAGGTGGGAGGTGAGGAGGGCCGCGGAGGTGGTTGAGCAGTTGATGGAGAGGGTAGATGAGGGTGGCGAGCGGAGAGGAGAGAAAATAGTCGGGGAACGGGCGGCGATGGAACGGGGAGGACATGGCGGAGGTGGTTGATTAGGAGGAAGAGAGGAGAAGGGGAATTAAGGTGAGGTTATTCCATGATTGCTGTTGGCAGCAAGTTCAGGTGATGCTGGGCCAGACAGAACCAACATGGATAGCCAGTCAGTGCCTGTCGGCCTGAGGTGCGGAGGTGGGGAGCCTGACCGGGTAGCCAATCAGGATGAATATCGGAGCACGGGTGACGGGCTCAAGCAGGTTCTTGGATCTGTCTGGTAGAATCCATCTGGTACATGGTTACCTACGTGAAAATTGAAGAATTTCCTGTATCCTGAGGTGTAGAAAGGGGCAATATGTTAGTTCGTTCCATAGTATCTAGTGAGAAGCTCCTCGCATCTCAAGGTGTCAATGTCTAGAACATGTCTAAGTACCCAGCATCACGTGTTAGCGAGATGAATCATCGACTCCGCAAGCTGCGACGGACACTAAGCGCGTAGCACTACTAGTCCGCCGTGCCTCCCTGAAAGTTCGAAGGGGATCGGAGGGTTATCCACTGGGCCGTGAGTGACATCAAGTCTAGATCCCATGTCAGCTGGCGGCATCCTCCGATCCACACGAGCCCTCCAACAAGTCCTCACACTGGTAACAACGAGGGAAATGTCGCGCTTCTCCTCTCGCCAGTAGACCGGTTCAATGCGACGCAACTATAAGTGTCATGGGTGCCTGGATCCATGTAGGACAGACGTGGGGGCAGTACCTCCGTAACCGTCGTAACGCCGTAGCCTGCCACTGAAAGAGTACCTACTTGTTACTATCATCAACAATGCAACATGCCCCCTTCCAGGGACAAGTGATGCTTTGGACGATTCAAGTACATTGTCCGACCAGGATATCGCAAAAGCATGAAGGTCCCGACGTTGATCGATGCATGCTCGAGCCTGAAGGTCTCCTCAGGCCCAACCGGGCGAATCGAACCATAGCCCATTCATGATTTGCCACATGCAGTGGGTAGTCAACAACTCTTTTTCTTCATCTACGCTTGCGGACATTCCTTGTCGATCTTTATCATCAATCTCTTCCCTTGGGACCTGTGCCTTTCCTCTCCCTTCCCACTTTCCTGAGACATCGGCCATCGTGGCATCTATCCGGTTCTTCGACGAAGATCGACTCGTTGCAACTGTGTCTTGTTCAATCGCCCGTCTATACCAGATCGTTTGCGTCATCCGCCCGGTCCAGTCATCTGCACCTGTTCGGGATCGTTAGGCTTTGATTTCCATGTTCTGGAGTCCGAGTCGGCCATTCTTTGAACCCATTCGACTGTAAACGCATCCTGTGCCCGGGTGAGCGGTTGACTGGCGGGCGCTGCTGAACCAAACCAACCCCTCAGATTCGCACAACCAGACCAGGCCAACCCGCCTTCTCCTCCGCCGCCGCCGCCGCCGCCGGCCACCACCACCACCACCGCAGCTGAACCTGATCGCTACGAAACATCCGCCATCGGCTCCTTTTCTCACTTTTCCCTTCTTCAGCCCTCCGTTTCGATCCCGATCGCTTTCAATTACCCGATAACATGGACGGGGTTGAGATTACCAAGGCCGTTCTCAATAAAGGCAAGCAGATGGCTAGTAGTGTCGCTGCCTCCGCTACCAATGGCAATGGCGGTAAGAAGAGAAGAAAAGGGACCGACTTAAAGCCGATCGTCACCAACGACGCCGCCACGCCTGGAGTCGACCCAGCGACCACCACCACTGAGGGGTATGGTCTTTACGCTGCCCGCTTTTTCTTTGCTGTTTACCTCTTTCCCCACCCCCCTCCCTTTCTTTCTTCTACTGGATTTTGCCCCTCCATCTCTTGATCCTTTCTAACCGCCATGAGTGGCAGGGTTCCCGCATACGGCGTCCCACCATCGCGCTCATCCTCTTCATCTTCCGGCGAAGAACTAGAGACCACCGCGGAGGAAGAAGACTCGGAGGACTACTGCAAGGGCGGCTACCATCCCGTCTCGGTCGGCGAAACGTACAATAATGGTCGTTATGTGGTCGTGCGCAAACTAGGGTGGGGTCACTTTTCGACCGTCTGGCTGTCCCGCGATACGACAACTGGGAAGCACGTCGCTCTCAAGGTCGTCCGTTCCGCAGCTCACTATACCGAAACCGCCATCGATGAGATCAAGCTATTGAATCGCATCGTCCAAGCCAAGCCGTCCCATCCGGGTCGCAAACATGTCGTCAGTCTGCTGGACTCGTTTGAACACAAAGGACCTAACGGGGTCCATGTCTGCATGGTGTTTGAAGTGTTGGGAGAAAATTTGCTCGGGTTGATCAAGCGATGGAACCATCGCGGAATCCCCATGGCGTTGGTCAAGCAGATCACGAAGCAGGTCCTGCTGGGATTGGACTACCTCCATCGGGAGTGTGGTATCATCCACACGGATCTGAAGCCGGAGAACGTGCTGATCGAAATCGGCGATGTGGAGCAGATCGTGAAGACCTACGTTAAGGAGGAGGCCAAGAAGGAGCAAAAGGAAGATAACCGCAATGGCCGGCGACGGCGCCGAACCTTGATCACTGGGAGTCAACCGTTGCCGAGTCCCCTCAACACTAGCTTCGACTTTAAGCACAGTTCACACAACTCTCATAGCAGTCTGAGTCAGATGGTGAGCGAGTCGTCTGGTATGTATCGTTTCAGTCAACGTGCTTCTCGTTCTAACGGCGGTAGTAGCATCCAATACAGAGAGTTCATCGATGAAGGAACTACTAGGAATCAAGGAAGATGACGAGAAACAGAAACAACGGGAAAAGACTGCGTACGTTGCTTGCCCGTTGCTACTGCGCTACCATGCTACCGTGCTACGAGGACGATAACTGATTATCATAGTGATTTGCTGGAACGAGAGGTGTCGGGTATTTCCCTGGACAAGTCCAAGTCAAGCGACGAGCCGGAGTTTGATATCATTTCGGTGAAAATCGCCGATCTGGGCAATGCATGCTGGGTCGGCCACCACTTCACCAACGACATCCAAACGCGACAGTACCGTTCGCCGGAAGTTATCCTGGGTTCGAAGTGGGGCGCTAGCACGGATATTTGGAGCATGGCTTGCATGGTATGTGACGTCGGCATGTTGGCTTGATCCTTTGCTAACATTCGCAGGTGTTCGAACTCATCACTGGCGACTACCTCTTCGATCCGCAATCAGGGACTAAGTATGGCAAAGACGACGATCATATTGCACAAATCATTGAATTGTTGGGACCCTTTCCGAAGTCCCTGTGTCTCTCGGGCAAGTGGTCGCAGGAGATTTTCAACCGCAAAGGAGAACTCCGCAATATCCATCGGTTGCGCCACTGGGCTCTTCCGGATGTTCTCCGGGAGAAGTATCATTTCACGGTGGAGGAGAGCATGCGCATCAGCGAATTTCTACTACCGATGCTCGAGGTATCCCCGGAGCGACGAGCCAACGCGGGTGGCATGTCCGCCCACGAATGGATGCGGGATACACTCGGCATGGACGCCGTCGACCTGGGGGTCACACCGGGCAGCCGCGGCGAGGGCATCGACGGATGGGCAATGGAGGTCAAGAGGCGATAAACAAAAGTACATTAGGCATGAGGACTCCTGACGAAAGTCGGTTGAGTCGGGCGACGAGTTTCCTTTTTTTTCTGTTACCGTGCGGCGGACCTCTATTCTACTACCTTTTTGGCTGCGTTGGCCGTTCACTGGATGTTTATGATGCCTTGAACATGATGTTGCATGCTCGTACCCTGCCTTCTCCTGTCCGTCATCACCTATTCACTTATAGAGTCGCGAGTTACCATATCTTCCGCGGTCTGCTTAGATGCGAATCTTCCATCGGTTGATTATTGAGGTGGCTGTCGGGGTACAATGGACAGGCTCGAGTTGTAGATAGCATGAATGCTACTCCCGTATACTATCCCCATGCCCATTCCCATCTCCACTAGTATCTTCCTCACTATCCAACCCCTCCTCACTAGGCAAAACATCCGGAAACCACCCAAACCGGCCCAAATCCACATACAACTCCCCCATCGCATCCCCTTCCACCTCCACCCCTTCACCCCGCAACACCTCTGCCTGTCGTTCTGCACTTCCCGGTCCTCTGACTCGTCAGTGTTTCTTCCCCATTTTCTCATACCCATAGAACCAATTAAACCAACTCCAACCAGAACCACAATAAACAGCCAAGAAAAGGGAAAGGGGAAAGTTGGGGGCAACAAACCGATGCGAAATCATCCCTTTTGAATTAATCACTCTCTGCCAGGGTACATTCCCCGAATGATAGAAACTTGTGCCTGGGGAGGGGAGATGTTTGAGGCTGGTGCCGACTTGGCGGGGGCGTTTTGCTAATTGTCATTAGTACTATTATTATTACTATTATTTTTCATTGGGTTGGAGGTATCTAGGTTATGTTGTTTCTGTTCAGGCTAAAGTGGGTGTGTTGGGGGGGGTGGTAGTAGGCGGGGGAAATGTAACTGGATATAGTAGATGGACATGGATTCGTATGGAGAGGAAAAGAGGGTGGGATGGATGCATTAGACGTACGATATCCTAACAGTAGAGCAATATGGCCATAGCTTGTCACTCGGCCGTAGGGAATCTCTTGGATGGCGGCGTAGACGGCATTGATGAACCATTCTGCTTCGTCGGTGCGGGGCATTTTCAATACCTCTGATGCTGGAAGGACCAAAGGAAGATTGTATTAAACTGGAATTGAACTAGGCTGTTGAGGCTGGATAATTACATAGTAGCTAGTATAAAGTGCTAAGTACTAGGTAGTAGATACATTCTTTGTTAGCCTCACAAGACGAATGTATAGTCATACCCTTCCTGCCTCAGGCATAATACTCACCATGCGGTACCGGAAAAACACCCTCCCGATTATCAGATACGGAGCTCCGTCCGGAATACTATCAACCACCGACCGACCGACCGACCGACCGAACTTTCCTACGTCCATTCCATATCCCCCCAACACACCACAAAAACACACGCACAAAATGTCCTCCCTAGCAGACTACCTCGCGAAGAACTACCTCACAGCAGACCCCTCCACCGAACGTCCCAAAAAGAAACGCAAGAAGAATACCAAATCCGACACTACGCCTTCCGGCCTGATCATTGCCGACGACGATCCGCCCGATTTGCGCTCCCATGGAGCCACCATCCACGACGATGAAGATAGGCCGTCGATTGTCACGGGCCCAGGGGCTCGGAGTGGCGAGTTCCGACGCAAGAAGACATCCGGGTGGAAGACTATTGGGGGTGGTGGTGGTGGGGCGGAGCAGGATGCGGCGGATAAGATTCTTGCGGATGCGGTTGCGGAGAGGGAGGCGGGGAGGGGAGGGTTAGGGGAGGATGGGGATGAGGATGCGCCGGTTGTGGAGGGGGAGGAGGTGGATGATGGGGAAGGGGTGAGAATGGAGTCTGGGGCGTTGGCGGGGTTGCAGACGGCGGCGCAGACGGCGGCGATGGTGGCGGCGCAGGAGAGGAAGAAGAAGTTGGAGGCGGCCAAGTATAGGGAGTCAGCGCTAGGGGAGAAGGCGCAGGAGACGATTTATCGTGATGCCAGTGGACGGATTATTAATGTGGCGTTGAAGAGAGCGGAGGCGAGGCGGGCGGAGGAGGAGAAGAAGGCAAAGGAGGAGGAGGCGAAGGAGGCGTTGATGGGAGATGTGCAGAGACGGGAGAGGGAGGAGAGGAGACAGCAGTTGGAGGAGGCTAGGGTGATGCCGTTGGCGAGGACGGCGGATGATGATGAGCTCAATGATGAGTTGAAGGGGAAGATGAGGTGGAATGATCCGGCAGCGCAGTTCTTGACGAGTGTCAGGGATGGGGGCACGAGTCGGACGGGCAAGCCTTTATATAAGGGTGGGTTTGCGCCGAATCGATATGGCATTCGACCGGGGCATCGGTGGGATGGAGTCGATCGGGGGAATGGCTTCGAGAAGGAGTGGTTTGCGGCGAGGAATAGAAAGGGACGATTGGAAGCGCTGGATTACCAGTGGCAGATGGATGAGTGAGATTCTCTTATATATGGGTTTGCATGGATCTGGTGCTGGCGCTGGATGGGATTAAAATAATATTCATTGCTGCATGGTTTAAGCACTTCTTAAGACATAAGAGGTACGCCAGAGGATTGCTACCGTTGTTATCTTATAACCTCTACTACTTTGTACAGTGTAGAGACCGGAGTTGGTACGAAGTAAATGTCCACATTGAACCGTCGGTGTACATCAGTGGATGCATCCCACAGTAACGGTCCTACCCCACAGCCAAGGAAAGGCAACCAGATAACCCAGAAATCAACTCTTATTCAGACTATCACGATATCCTTAACCTTGTATCCTCCGATGGTCCATCAACTCACCAACATCCATCTGCACCAGCTAATCCGTTCCTATACGCGCCCTCAGACAGATACCTTTCATTCCAAAGATGAGGAGGCCGAAAATAGACACCAAATAGACAGACCGTACCATCATGGACCTCGAATGATAGCCTTCGCTCCACTAACTGCATTTTAAGATATGATATCCCTGTATATCCTCCACCCAACAACACCTAGAAGCGCGCCAACTATGATACATGCTGGCAAAACACAACAAGTGTAGCTGGAGATAAAGTCACCAGGGAGGCTGACGATAAGTTGTACTCTGAATGTAGTGCTCCAACGTTGACATTATGACCCCTAAAGTTAACCGTCACTGATCTTCTGTAGAAGGCATGGGTTCTCTATAGTTTTAGGGGACGAATACGATGTTTTGGTCTGTAAATCGTCGAGGAAGATATAGTAGGATGCGGCATTTATATTATTGCCGGTATTCGATACTATCCGGATACGAGGGCGTGTGTCTAGACCTCTGATGCAGGATATCGAGGGAAGGGTGTATATTTGTGCCGCGTTGCTATAGCTTCCGTCCCTTGATAATACTGTTGATTTGGAAACACTGCACCTTGAATCCTGCTTTTGATGCCTCTTTCAGGATGTAGACTATTACGGGTCAAGTACTCTGTAAGCCGGGAGAGAATGATTAACCTTTGGAAATCTTACACACGCAGCGGAGAAGATAAAGAACAAGGTATATAAAGAATGCTTGCTTTCCCGGGAAACGCTCTTTGTTTGCCTTTTTGGGTGTGGACATGCCACGGTGTCTTCCTTGTCTTGGTGAAAGTCTATATATGAATAACGAGGATGTCTATAAGAGCAAGCAGCGTCATCAAGTACATACTGTGAAAATGAACTGGTTTCGAACACCGCACAATACGTATACACTGCAATCAACACAGAATAGATGGCAGGATGTTTGGTATCTAGAGGCGATTTGATTACACTGACTAGCTACATTCTTCCTGATGTCATGATCCGATCCTGCATGCAGCTCGCATGCAATCCCAGCCATCACGCTGTGCCGCGACTGACGGACCCCTCGAGTCATCTGCAGCGCTACAAACTCAGATTGCAGGCGCTTCGGACATGGGGGTACATGGGATCACCCGCTCAGCAGACCACCGCCGATAAGCGTCACGGGCAGCCACGAGAACCGTCGATTGGAGGATGCAGGGGTGAAAGACTCCCCGACACCCAGGCAGTGTCTGAACCAAAGGTCCGGGCGGACACGATCCATTCATCAGGCCATGCTTGACAAGTGACGTTCGAGATCGGCCAACGTGCCTGAGGCAGTGGATCGGAGTTGCATCCTCACTTGCCAGGCAGCGCGTCTAACCTCGGGAGCAACAAGAGGGGAGCCCGCCAAACCGTGGGTCCACGAGTGGCGCTCGGGGGATCGGCACCAGCGCGATAACAATCCAGGGGGGTTGCGATACCGCCGTCGTAACGGGTTACTCCTCTCGGCTCTCAGGCTCTCCGATAGATAGTGAGTGAGATAGTCTTTCCCTGGGAAGCTAGTCGAAATGACGAGAGATATCCAACAGATGACCTGCCACAATGAGCATCGCCTCGCGCGGACCCCGTGCGGCCTACTCATCGGCCAGTCGTAGCGCGTGCGTTTGAGATAGACCTCCATTATAACCCCTGATGACTCCCACCCCCCAAGGTGCTGCTTCCTGCCTCTCCGTATCGTTCCTCCATTCCCGAGTGAGCCTACCGTGCGCATTGCCGCTCACCCTTGGATCCATGACTGGAGCCCAGCCGGGTCTCTTTATGACTCAGACCAACGCCCTATAACTAACCCATTTGTTTATTGTTTATCGGAGACTTTTGGTTCGCGGGGCGTCTCAGTATTCGGTCTTTTGTCCACCGCTTTGCCTCAAATCCGGGCTTTATATTCTGAGGCCACCGCCACCGGTTCTCCGGTAGCGTTCTACTTCGACTACTCTGAAACAACTCCCCCACCTGCCTTCAGCAACGGTTCATAATGTCTGACTCTTTGCTCGATATCCGCCGCGCTGGGATGGATGCCAAACGGGCCCACGACCACAAGGCCAAGTGGGCGTACGGCAGCCGATGTGCTCACTGTCGTCATCCGGATGTGACTTGCACCCTGCCCATGTCTCGGCCGGTGATGCCCGTCACCCACTATACGACGTAGGGCCTCTCTCTCCTGCATGACTGACACACGCTGACCCCCCTAGGTTGACACGGGCGATGCGCTTCAGCCGCAAGGCCAAGACCAACCAGCATACGAGCGATGCAAAGATCTCCCTGCGTGCTGATGTGCGGGAGGCTCTCGACAGCGGATCGTCGGATTCATCCAGCGACGATGTCGATGACCCTACGGCGGCACAGGTCATCGATGATTCCGACAGCAAGGAAGATGAGCTGCGAGATTATGAAGCATCTGGACAGACCATACTCTCTGCTGCAGTGAGCAAGGCGCTGGAGAAGTTCGAGACCAAGGAGACGGAGAGGATCGTCAAGGAGTACGAGATCATCTCGTACGAGGGCGAAACCGCCCTGGGCTATCTGGCCGACGACGACGACTTTGAGCTGGTCGATCGCATCCAGCTCTGACCTGTCGTTTGCATCTGTATTGTCTGGCGTCGATCTTTACTACCCACGGTCCTTGGCAGGAGTTGGTGATGATTATTGGTTTTGCGTTCTGTTGTATATCACTTCTGTTATCAGTTATCTGTCAGTCATTCTTTTGGTATAGCGATGCGATGCAGGCTTGTTATTTTTCTGTCAGCGTTAATATGTCATAACTGATCATTATCTAGTATTGTTAGAGTGCGTCTTATCCAGCAATGGAATTTTGAGTCAACAGAGATCTCCAGGGCAGTAGACTGTAGACAGAAGGTTGCGGGCGACCGAGTCAGGCGCGAGTCCGGGGTCCAGCCCCGCAGTGTTGTCTCCATTGATCCTGTTGTTGCAGCCATTCATGGTCTGGCAATCGCCTAGCCGACCGTGTTGTGCATAAGAGCCGCTGCATATCACCTCTCACTTCAGCCTCAGGCAGGATACAACACCAAGAAAATATCTTCTGCATTAAATCTAACTACTACATCGATAGCAAGCATCCTTTGTCTGTGGTGGTGGCATCTGCCTCGTTGCTTGGCGGCGAGTCTGGATTGTTTACCAAAACAAACGAGCGGAAAAAGTCCGGCCTCCGATCCTCTCTCATCGGTCACAACCACTCTTTCACCACCATCCACCATCTCCACTTTGCTCATCCACAAGATGGATAAACGAACGGCAGAGAGTCCGATGGACTTTGAATGGCAGACCAGGGCCCCGGGGGATGTAACCTCGCCCTTTTACCAGCTCAGCGTGCAACATGACAACAAAAAACGTGCGTATCGCCTCTGCAGACATGCCTTCGACTAACAGGCAACAGGCTCCCATAGCACGTTCGATTCCCCTGAGAAGAAAACAATGCCCGCTCTGCGAGAGCCCAACTCCCAACCTTTCCTGTTTTCCCGACCCAAGTCGCAAGTTCCCGAAACCCCCAAGGCCTTCAACCCGTCCTTCATGACCCCTCGCAAATTCGATGTCGACTTTTCATCCGGCGCCGAGAACATGTCCTCTCCGGAACATGCCGATAATGAGGATACTCCTGACCAGCCCAGCAAATCCCACCGGAATTCGCTATACAGCATGTACGGACGGTTTGCGCCCAGCCCGGGCCGTGGCGAAATCCCTCGACTGAACCATTACTCCAACGCGTTGGCGCGACGGGTGCAGAAAAGACGGCGGAGGGACAAGGCGCTGGATCTACAACTACGGAGGGATAGCGACGATGAGAGTGACCGACCGAGCAGCAGTGAGCTCAAGCCCACCAAGCAGAGACAGAAGGGGCAAGGTCAGGAGGGCTCAACCGGGTCTCGGTTAACTTCGTTTTCGGATTTCTTTGCTCTACTGGAGGCACACCCCAACGTCCCGAGCATTCTGTCATGGTGGGCACAACTGGTGGTGAACCTGTCGCTGTTCTCGCTGGCGGTATATGTGGTCTTTGGATTTGTGTCGGCGATCCGGTCGGAATTCGAGCAGGCGGCTGAAGAGGAGTCGGATACCATCCTGGCCGAGATGGCGGCGTGCGCGAAGAGCTACGTCGACAATCGATGCGCTGGGGGCGATCGACTACCTGCTCTGGAGACGGTGTGCGAGAACTGGGAGCGGTGCATGAACCGGGACCCGGCCAAGGTGGGACGAGCCAAGGTGTCGGCACACACGATGGCGGTGATTATCAACAGCTTTGTTGACCCTATCAGCTGGAAAGCAATTGTACGTTTTAATCCTTGTGCCATATGTGTGCTAGCTAACAGTCTAGATGTTTTTCCTTGCTACCATTTCGACCGTCACCGTTGTCAGCAACTGGTCCTTCCGTTCATTCCGCAACCGCCTTCACCAACACGACTACTCCGCCAGCTACTCCCGACAGCCGTCCGGACAGCATCCGATTGCACCGCCGCAATTTCCGTACCAGCACAACGCGTTTGGATACATGGCGAACCAGGAGGGTGCGAAGCCGGAGGCACCGTTGATGCTGGAGCAGTCGCAAACGCGAGACTTTGTGTCGGAACGGACGCGCGAGCGGGAGTCTCGTCTGCGCACGCCCAGTCCATCCAAGCGGATGCGATAGAGTCTGACACGGCGTTGCACATTATTGCTTGGCGAGAAAAAGGCTGGATATGGAGTTGTGGTGGTTCTTGTATATACGTAATCAGTAAGAATGGAATGTTCTCCATTATGCGGTCTCCGACCGTGCGTAAATGACCGTCGATGACGTCTGCCACGACGACGGCCTCCGCAGCCACCGCGTCGGCCCAGCTTCGTGCAACGCGACAAGCAGGAGTTCTGCACTGATGGCAGCGGGGCTGAATGTGCCCGATCAGGGGTAGTCGTGGCCTCATGCTGACGTATTGCAGTCTGTCGAAGATATTATCGGATTTCCTGTCTAACTGAGTGTCAACTGATTTTGCTGTGTGATTCCACCGAGCAGACGAGCATCCAAGCATACGAGCATCCAAGCATACGAGCATCCAAGCATACGAGCATACGTTGACCTCTGCCAGGATGGCATCCGAAGGCACAAAGCAAAATCTTATCGTCGTATCGAACCGTCTCCCGCTATCGATCAAGAAGGTCGATGGAGGATACGAATCGTCCCTCTCCAGTGGTGGCCTGGTGACTTCGTTGTCCGGGCTGACCAAAACCACCTCATTCAGCTGGTTCGGATGGCCAGGCATTGATGTCGCAGATCCGACCGAGCAGGACGAAGTGCGCAAGAGCCTGGATGAACACAACGCGGTGCCGATATTCCTCGACCATGAGCTGGCACATAACCACTACAATAACTTTTCGAGTAGGTGGCTCCCATGATCAAGAATCAGCTGACTGGGCATAGACTCCATTCTGTGGCCGGTCCTCCACTACCAGTCCGGTATCGCTTTCGAAGACGGTCCTTGGGAGGCTTACAAACGGGTGAATGAGATCTTTGCCGATGCGGTTGCAGAGGCCGCTACACCAGGGACGCTGATTTGGGTGCATGATTACCATCTGATGCTGTTGCCTAGGCTATTGAGGGAACGTTTGGCGGGGAAGAAATGCGCTATTGGGTTTTCGCTACATACGCCGTTCCCAGCGGGAGACTTTTGGAGGAATTTGCCGGTGCAAAAGGATCTGCTGCGGGGCATCCTGAATAGTGATGTCATTGGGTTTCATACGGATGAGTACAAGCGAAACTTTGTTCTGTGTGCGGAGGAGCTGTAAGTGTTGATACGACTACCATTGTTGCAGGGACTGATGGGTTTAGGGGAGCGAAAGTGGAGGATTCCGGGATACAATTCGACGGACGGGACGTGATGGCGGAAAAATTCATTGTCGGGATCGATCCGCAAAAGTTTACCGATTCGTTGCAGAATGAGGAGGTGCAGAACCGGATTCGCGAGTTGCAGCGACGGTACCAGGGAATGAAAATCATCATTGGAGTGGACCGTTTGGATTATATCAAAGGGCTGACGCAGAAGCTGAAGGGATATGATGCCTTTTTGGACCAGCACCCGGAGCTGAGCAACAAGGTGGTGCTGATCCAGGTAGCGGTGCCCAGTCGGGAGGATGTCAAGGAGTATCAGGACCTGGAGACGGAGCTGAGTACCATCGCGGGCAGAATTAACGGCAAGCACTGTAAGTGTTGATAGCCCTGCCCTCTCTCGGTATACTAACGATGTAGCTACTGCCGATGGGTGCCCGCTGATCTACATGCACCGATCCGTCAACTTTAGCGAGCTGACGGCACTCTACTCGGTGGCCGATGCGTGCCTGCTGACTTCGACACGGGATGGGATGAACCTTGTTTCGTTTGAGTATGTGGCGTGCCAGGCGCAGCGGCATGGCGTGTTGGTGCTGTCCGAGTTTGCCGGGGCCGCGTCTTTTATGAAGGAGGGTTGTCTCACGTTCCACCCGGCCAATATGTCAGAGATGGTGGATGCGCTGTATGAGGCGGTGACGATGAGCGATGAGGACCGCAAGGGACGATACGAGACGCTGCGACATTTTATCGAGACGAACACGAGGTAAGTTCATACCCGATTATCGTGACGTGACTGACGATGTTAGTGCCAAATGGGGGGAGGCGTTTATCGAGGCTCTGACCAAGCATTTGGGTTGATACGATGGACGGGAGATATGATTTTACGTAGTGAACACGGGAATTGACACGGCTGTTCAATCTGTCAGGTGCAGGTAGAATTAATACCGTAGAATGTAGGCTACCGAGGTGATACACCGTCTGTCTTGATAGATGCAACCACACCTTCCAGAAGAACCTTCGGGTACCTGAATCGAAGCGAACCTCGGCACCTCCAGACTCAAAAACCAGCCAGACAAGCTTTCCGATCCTGCCCCCCGTCTGACCCTTAATACTGCTGCCTATCCTCCTTACCAGCAACATCAGAATGTGATAGATAAAGTTCAAAAAATGGAAAAACCACCCGCCCTCCACTAGTTAATCCAACAGATTAATCAACCCCAAACACGATTACCAATCTCCAGACACTAACTAAATCGGATTCGAAAACGGTTGAACTCCGGACCCTGTTTGACCCTGACCCACCACCCACCACTCGGGCACTCGGCATCTAACGCAACCCAGCAAAGTGGCCGATCTCCCCTGAAACCCTTCCAACCATGCACGGTTGCAACTATATTCCTTCGGGTTAGTGAGGGTGTAGTGGTTTCAGCGCTGCACTAGTAGGACTCATTTTTGGGTGTTGTTGGTTTCTTTCTAGGGTTGCGGGATGTGGGATGTCCGGTGATTCTATTGTTAGGCAGAGAGGGAGAGCTGAGTTGTATATATATAGTCATGTAGGATGGAGTGTGAGAGAGGAGAATTCATCCATCCATTCAATCAGTCGTTCTTTTCTATACTCCTTCATTACTGATTTCTATACTTACTACTGACAATCCTTATTCAATTGAATATTCTGCAGGCAGAATACACACACACATACCACCCTCCATCCAAATCTAAACAGAACCAAAGAAGAGGAACAAAATGGCCCCCCTCAAATCCCTCCTCCTCACCTCCCTAGCCACCCTCGCAACGGCATCCCCCCTCATCGCGGACCCGTCCTCCCTGCACGCCCGTCAATTCGGCACCGGCTCTACCGCCAACGACCTCGAGAGTGGCAGCTGCAAGGATGTCACATTCATTTTTGCGCGCGGGTCGACTGAGATTGGGAATATGGTACGATACAACACTCCCAAAAAAACCCATCACTAACAAGTATCAAATGAATAGGGCACCGTGATCGGCCCCCCCGTCTGCGACCAACTGAAATCCAAACTCGGCAGCGACAAAGTCGCCTGCCAGGGCGTCGGAGGCGGCTATACCGCCGGCCTCATGCAGAATGCCCTGCCACAGAACACGGACCCGAATTCCATTTCCGCGGCGAAGCAGATGTTCACGATGGCGAATTCTAAGTGTCCGAATACGAAGATCGTCGCTGGAGGATATAGGTATGACCCCTCCTCCCCCTTTCTTTCACCTATATCGAGATATGAGATGTATTCGATTTTCCCACTGGAGGAATCAAATGCTAACGGGGCTGGTATAGTCAAGGCAGCGCGGTCATCGACAACGCCATCCAAGAACTCAGCAGCGAGGTGAAAGACCAAACCGTGGGCGTGGTGTTGTTTGGATTTACTCGCAACGTGCAAGATCATGGCCAGATTCCTAACTACCCCAAGGATGATGTCAAGGTGTATTGTGCCGTTGGGGACTTGGTGTGTGATGATACACTAGTCGTCACGGCGATGCATTTGACGTATGGGGTGGATGCCGGGGATGCGGCGAGTTTCTTGGTTTCTAAGGTGCAGGCCGCGGGGTCGAGCACGAGCAGCTCGTCGGATTCGAGTAGTAGTTCGGGGGCGGCGAGTTTGGGTTTGGGTTCTTCCTCGGGGTCGGGGTTGGGGTCGTTGTTTGGGTTTTAGATGGTGATGAGATGTGAGAGGGATGAATGGTAGTTTTGTTTCGTTTGAATGGATTGCTTGATAGAGGATTACTAGCTGGATTGAATTGATATTTTTGCATAACCCATTGACTAGATATTCGTACTACAGTTCAGGAATTGATACGAAGTACTGATAAGATATCCTGCCAAATCATATCTACATTCATTAATATCTCTCATCACTCATCTTTTATCCCCCCTCCCCTTGGACTCCTCTCAACCCCCCTCCAAAGAAACCAAAACCAAAACCTAATATCCATACCCATACCCTCCCCCTCCCCCCTATA